CTGTGATCCCACTAAAGCACTTCAACATTAACAAACTTGTGATCTCTGAAAACTACGTGGAATGACACAGGAAAAAAGGATATAAAGAAAATTCAAAAGTCTAATTCTCTAAAATGTATACAACTTTGCATCAAACACCTACACAGAATGGAAAACTACTGAATATAAAGCTATACATGAAAACTGATAGGTGAGCAGCTAAGAACACTTAGTGATATAATGAACAAGTAAGAAGAAAAGCAAGAGTTCACAAGGAATATAACACCATCCTGTATGCAGGGTAGCAATAACTCTAAATTAAGGCTTATTTGTTTTATTAACTTTTGTGTCACTTTGTCAACCTATTTTACTCCTTCACTATTGTCACTTCTCTCCTCTTGCTATATAAGCCATGCTGTAAATGCCAAATGTGCAAATGTACAATTTATTTAAACATGCTTAACTACAAATATGTATGATTGCACAGAGGCTCTCTAAGCTAAGCTTCTCCACGTTTGTGGAAAATTAATCTAAACAGACACCTTAATATTATATCCAGATGAAAATTAACTTCCTATAATTTCCATCCAAGACTTAAAAAACCCCAAACATCTTGAGGTTTTTTTATATGTATTCTCTTTCTGTTTCTACAGTAGGATTAATCAAAAATCCATGGATCATACTGTGAAAAGTAAAACATAAACAAACCCCCATAAACAATAATAACAAAATTAATTTTTAATTAATTTTTAATTAATTTTCATAAATCATTATAAATTAATAACACTTAATGAGACAGGTACCTAGGTTTACGTATCACTTCCACTTCAGTAAACTGACAACCAAGTTTAGGTATTTCTTAAGCCTATTGCAGAAGGTAAAAACCTGATGTTCCATTACACTAACAACTGTACACTCAATCACCTACGAAGAGAATGAGTTTTGGGTTTTTCCTTTTTCCCATATGAGGTTGGAGTAAATGGAAGGGATTTTACAATCTGATCTCCAAAAGATGTTAGAAACGCAGTGGCACCCTTAAACCCACAGGAAACCAGACTGTTTATTCCAGTATGACTACAGATACTGATATATAAAGACATACAGATCTACATGAAAACACTCATATTTTTGCTTTCTTTCATATATTTCATATATGAAGGAAAACTGCACTACTTAACAAGAAGAATCACTGAAATACTTTGTCCCCACTTCAGGTGTGGGCAGGGGGAGGAAGACAAATTCAGACACATCAGAACACTCATCCCTCAGCACTGCAAGAAAAGAGGCTGTTGAAACCTCAGTACTTGAAAAATTTCTAAATAATTGGAAAGATAATAAGGGAAAGCTGACCAAAAGCTTTTTCCTGCTCAGAAAAGATAAGGGCAACTACATGCACACTCCAGATCAAGCTTCCTTATAATTTTGTGTCAAAGCTTCTCAGTTCTTCAGAACTGAGAGAGAACTGAGCAGTATTTGGTAGCTTCAGATGGCTGGGGGAAGGGCGTAGCAGCAAATGGGGGTAATCCAGTAATGCCTTGAAGACTCAAATCACAGATTTGTTAGGTTGAATGTTATAAAACACCCAGAAACACAAAAATACCATATTAGAAACATTATACAGCAAATCCTCTGATTTAGTGTGTGTTCTATGTCCCTTAAAGTGCTTTTTTAGGTTATAATTTTGAACCATAAACACAAGAATTCCTCTGTCAAAATATTCTACAGGTTGGTACACATGAAAGTGGATCCAATTTAAAAGTACTTTATGTTTAGCTAAAAATGAGTAAAACTAAAATACGTGATATGTAAATTAAATTATTCCAATGTAAATACTGAATTGGATTTCAAAATCACACTGGGGTAAGCAGAACAGTTTATAATTCAGAATTTAAACAGATTTAACCTCCTTCACAACTTTACCTCCTATCACTTTGACAAAAACAAATACTCTTGCTCTCCGCCATCTGCGGCTGGGGGAAAAAGGTAAACATAAAGTACTGCAGTCAGGAATTTGGCAGGAAGAGAGCACTGCAAACAAGAATTGAAATTTATTTGTTTGACTGTAAAGCTTGGATATATATAGCACCTTCCAATATCCAACAAACCCTTGCTGAAGTGTTAATAAGTAACAATAAAATGACAGCTATACTGTACTATTATTTAAACCAAAAAAACTATTCAGAAGAAGGACTGAAAAGATTTCCAAGTGGCATGGGCTAGAATAGACTCAAATCTATGTGATATGGTTTCAAAATAATTGCATTGAACCTGACATGATTTAGAAGTGTAAAGGAGGTCAAGCATTACAGATCTTTTTTCCACAATCAGAAGTATTTGATTCAGACTTGCAGCTAAAATTGACTGAAACTTAGATGACTTGGGACAATAAAACAGTACATTAGGAAATTAAGCATCAGGCATGCTGAGACATTCAGAGCTGCATGCAGAGATGAAGCTGCACACAGGGAGGAGTTTCAGAGTTTATTTTTACAAGACACTGTTTCAAGAACTCAGTCATCTCCCAAAACATACCTACAGTCCAACTGTTTGGTGCCTGAATAGTAATTAACCTGTTCACTAGTCTGAAAAATCATTCAAAATTTCAATTCCAAGAACTTGAATTTTAAATACACAGCAGTAAAATCTAACCCCTTCTCTGTGGATATATCTGAATAGCAACTTTAACACTAAGAACCAGGTCTGACTAATTTGACATATATATTTGAATAAGTTAGGTATCTAACATACCCATGTAGCCTAAAAATTATCTTGTAGGATTTGTAAGCAATGGCTTCACAGATGCTTTCTCAGATGCCCAAACAAGTTAGTTAAGCTGTCAGTGGGTAACAGTTTCAGTCAAATAACCACTGGTTGAACCATTTAAACTTGTTAGGGATACTAGTTTCCTATGCTGTCCATTCCAACACATGGTTTATGCTCTGGCTATCACATTATTCTCTCTGTGAAACACTATCAGCCTGCCAACCATTTTACACACATCAATTATACCATAACAATGTGAAAATATTCTCCTTACATTTTATCTTTTCAAAGGAAGTGACTGAGATATCAGTAACATTTATTAAAGACATATTATGACAATGTTTAGTATTTAAGTAATTTGAAAACCCTTCTGTCTAGGTAGAATTAATTGAGGACAGATTTTGACCATCACCCTGGTTAAGATTTCAGAAAATACTCGGATGCACTTTCCTTATAAAATAGTAAGCATGGGGGGAGGAGGAGGAGATAAGAAAAAAAGTTGAATTATGTTGAAAATACCATTAGTATGTTGAAAGTATCATCTGCAGAGCAGCAGAAAGAGTACCAACAGTTGCAGTACTGTCTCGAAACATAAATTAGACAAATTGCATTAGGAAACAGGATTAGGAAAAGGATTTTCTCATGCAAAAATGCATTCAAAATATGTCCTCTCAACTTAAACTGTACCTGTTACTATAAACTAAGACTTTACTTAGCTTCCTAGAAAAAAAAAAATTATGCACGTAAGCCTGTACTTAATGGCTGTGGTAACCTTGCCAGTCTCAAAGCACTCTGTTTCTTTCCCTTTAAACACCAGAGAGTAATGCAGGCAAGAATTTCTCCACATGTTAATGCACCTCTGTCTACTTTTTTCATCTAATACAGAAACTCTCAACATTTCTCGGCTATTCACCTTACTAGGTCTGGTCAGACACATTCTGGATTCAAGGAGAACAAGGCTTACTGCTCTCCCAGGGTCCAATTGGCTCCCAAGAGATTAGAACATAGAATTAATTGAGATGCAAGCCAATGCATTGTGCTCATGACCATGGGATTTGGGACTGGAGAGACTCTCCTAGATTAGCTGGCAGAGACCTTAGATATTCACTGTTTACTTGTTCTGACTTCAGAGAGCAGGGAAATTATGTTCTTTGCCATTCTTGGACATAGATATAGATGCTTTTGGTATGAATCCATCTCCCCATCCATATTCATTCACCACCATGGATTCATTTAAGGCTACAAGATCCAAACCTAAACTGATAAAACTGATAACATCCTTCCTGCAATCTACACACTTCTGCCCTTTCTTGTATTGGTTCCAGGGCTTATCTGACCCTGCACTGAGCCAGTTTCAGATGGTAGAGAAGTATCCTGGGGGAAAAAAAAGAAACAAAGGAATAATAATAATAAAAAAAAAAAGTAATGGCAAACAACTTCCTGCTGAGTTTGCAAACAGCTCAGCACAGAAACAGATAAATACCAGAGAAAGACAACACAAGGGAGGGGGCAGCAGGGATGCAGGACTTCAGCAACCCCTGCAGTTACATCCATTTCACCTACACAAAACTGAAGCCTCACTTTCTTCCCCCATTCTCAATTTATAAACAAAAGTTTAATCATGTGAAAACTGAAATCCTTTTGTCAAACAGACATAAGGATACATGGGTTAAATACAGCGTCTGCAACATATGCAAGTGTAGATGAGATTGCTTCCTGCTGGAGTTGGAATTCTTAAATAAAATATTTTATAGCTACTCTTCACACATAAATAGAATTCTGCTGCTAAGCAAAGCAGTGAACTGGAAACTAAAAAATCTTAATTGTACTTCCACTAGCAAAGAACTAGGCTAGAATACACTATGAATCTAAGGAAATAATGGTCAGAAATCAGAAGGAATGCAATACTGCAACATGAGGGGTGGGAAATGATGATAGACTAGCAACTGCCAGTTAAGCTTTATTGGTTTTCCATTTGTGTCCCAACTTTATATTTGTTTCTCAAGATTTCCTCAAAGACCACATATTTTACCAAAAAACCAATATCCCTTACTTTTTCCCATTTCAGAGAAAATGTAAAGTGTTACTGGGTGTGCAATAAAGATGTGGAAACTGGTGAAACCATATTTTATCTCTGAAGTAACAACGTTACTGCACTGCAGAGACTTCAGTTTCACCTCACTGCTCTAATCACCTGTTCAAAATACATTGCCTGGGGTAGAGCTCCAGCATAAACTAAACTGAATAAACAAAAATACTTGAAAAGAGAGATTCCACTTGCCCATCGCCTCCTCTGTTATCAATCTTAGCCAAGCAGTCTGCTCCCTCCTGTACCAACACAGACAAGACAAGAGTCAATGCGGTACACACCCACATGCAAGTACACACTTACACACACACACACACAAACACACACACACACACACACGTACATTAATCTCTTCAGTGTTCTTTGGATACAGCTATTGTTACATTTTTAGTGAGCTGGGTTTACTGAGACAAGAAGTGCAGTCCATTCACAGCCAATGGTGGGAATGGGCAGCAAGAAGAGGAAGCAGCCTCTTCCAGAGCTGCAGGAAATGGTTAACCCAGCTCATCCCTATTGTGAAACCTCAGCCCAGAAAGGAATTCAGCTGCTCCGACATCCTACTGCACCACAGTGATAAACCTGCTCTCCAGTACAGCACATGTACTTGCTCCCAAGCACAAGCTAAGAAAAATAACAGGGCGACCTAAAACCCAGGTAAAGTGACTAAAATCTGAAGTTCAAAACATTTTTTGTTCCTCCACTAAGCAGTTCGTATTCTTGCTGGTCCTTTGAGTTATTACAGAATTTATGCTTTGTCCTCCAGGTACCATTGTTGCCTTTGACACACAAATCTGCTTCTGAAGGATGGTGTCTATTACTGTACAATATAATTCTATTATTGTCTGTCATAAAAAATTGCTTCCAGAACCTCAAAACATTGAGCAAACTCCACTGATAAATTGCCTAACACATTCAAGATTATTACATGCTTTCAAGTTTAATAGATGATAATGGCAGATTTCCAAACTCTCTGAAAAATGTACCATCCTGAAGTGTTAAAATTCGTATCTTAGAATTTTTGTTTACTTAAAAATCTTACCACAATTTAAGAACAAATGAGACACCAGATTCAAGGCTGAAAGAAAAACTGTTCAAAAATGCAGAAAGATTTCAAAGATATTTTGGAACACCTAATAATATAATTTTTCAATTTAAGAAAAAAAATTTAAAATCTCCTTTTGTGGGGATCTTATACAAACCCAGGAATGAGCTTCCTATATTGCAGGCTAGCACATTCATTTAAGAGGTTAAGTATTTTGAGCTATCTTGTGCTAGTAATTACTGTATGGTAATACTAAGTTTTTAATTTAGACAAACACATAAGACTTGTAAATTCCAACAGTGAGTCATGAGGGAACAGGAGCAAGATGCCTTCCCCCCACCCCCAACCCCCCCGAATCCGGCAATAATTTGTTTCCTTCTTCAAATCTCTGTCCCTTCTTCAAATCTCTGTTTTTATTTTAAAAATAAAAAAAAGATTTTTTATTTTTAAAAATGCCTATAGTTCACAAAGACAAAAAGAATTGAACTCCCCCAGAAATTTAAGAAGATAATAAACATGAGCAATGATTTTAATACCAAGCATTAGACTTCAAATTCTTTACAAAAAAGCACTGCTTTTTTTCTATCTATGGGCAACTCTTGGCAAAATGGGGGCTGCTCCACAGCTGCATGCATCTAAATATAAATATGTGAATAAGCAAGGTTTTTTTTAAATAATGTATATTGAAATTTCGCTTTGTTAGAAAAATCAATCTGGTAGAATGGAATTTTGTTGTCAAACAAAGTTATTTTCTTTGAAGTCTGCAATGGACAACAAACTCATCTATGTTAACATATGAGAGAGCATCCTTTCCCTCAAAATTCTCATACATTTCAACAGACACAGCTAATAAATATATTTAAATATTATATTATCAGACTAGCATGTGTATAGCTCATTTGTTGACATGGTGAAGCTGATGAACTTATTTTTACCACAGAACAGGCCATATTCTGTCAACCTAAAAAAATAGTGACATGATCCAAAAAAACATGAAATGGCCTTTAAGCTTTGTTGCAATAAATAACTCCATTAATAATGGCTGATAAACATGCAAATTATTCTCTACAGTCAGTTCAGATTTATTCAGCAAACAAGGATATCAGTATTGCTGAGACCTATACAGTTCTGAATTAATCACAATATGTTTTATGAATTAATCACAATATGTTTTATCTCCTTATCACTGAAAATTGCTCATATTAATATAATGAAAATTCATAATATTGATTTAAATGTATTAAAGTGACACATCTTCATCTACAATATTTAATTATATCAGTAGCAACCTTCCTATGGAAAGAGAACAGAGGACACTGATTTAAGAATATTTTGGTTTTAAATTATAAGCAACATAATAAACAATGCCCACTTTGGACTTTTTGGGAAATGTTTTAGACTGAACACAGGACAAGTGCATTATCATTTTAAAACAAAAGAAAAAAAAAAATCCAACCCAACCAAACAACAAGAAATCCACCAAACCCCAAACTTTTTCTTAATTCACCAGTTTATATCTTTGCTTTGTGTTTATCAGGCATAGTATTCATCTTCATAGGTCAGGAGCTTCCATATAAATTCTCTAGTCTAACAAAATATACAATAGTTATGGGCATCTTCAGAGAAGACTTGTAGTGTCCCACAGAATTAACTAGGAAAAAAAAAAACAAACCACTAAACACTCCAAACTTTTCACTCCCTTCTATGAAAAAAACCATCACAACTACCTGATCCTACACACAGATGTGTCCAGCAACTCTAAGCCTCACACAAAGTCCCGTAAGGTTCCTCCCAGACACTTCCAAAAATGTCAATGACGGCTCCAACCTGACTGATATTCACAAGTTAAAGGCAAAACCAGAAAAGCTCTGCTAGGTGAACATGTAATACCAACTCTTCCTCCTGAAAAGTTCAATCCATCCCCATTTCTCACACAGCACCCACCATCACCTGTCGTATCACGTTACTGACGGTATACGAACTCTACACAGCTCTTCAGTGTTACCTCACATGCTGGGAAAGAATTATACCCAAAATTAAGGCAAAAAAAAAGGAAAGTGTTGCACACTTCTCCAACATATCAGTTTCTTAGTTTCTTATTGTACTGTATTTCTTTATAAGTAGGAAAACCATGCTTCTTATAAGTGACTTTTTTTCTTGTGGGCACCCTTTGTCCAAGAAGAATGCCAAAACTTGACAAAATAAGTAATTCTGGAGCTATCATGCAAGAAAAAAAAAAACATTAATTGCATTTAAGGAAAAGCTTCCAACACTCTTTCAAACAAAAACTCTACAGTACCACAAAAAAAAAAAATCTCTCCACTGGGGCAAATAGACAAATATATATATATCTAGGTTCCTCCAATCAATTATAGATTTTTATGGCTGAAAAAAGAGCTTTATCCACACTAATTTTGCAAATAAATATAACTGTGGTTGTTTTAACCCAAAAGATTTCCTCTTTGAAGGGATACACATAGTTCTATGTTTGCATGCTTTATTCCAAGAATCCAAGAAAGACTAACCTTTACTTTTCAGTGAAAAAATACCCCTCTAATCAAGGCATTCTTATAGGAATACTTAGCAGAGGTGATATTCAGTGTAGCATCATAAGCTCATCATACACATAGTCCTTTTCTCCTGAAGGCAATGAAAGGGTTTACGATTGATATATCTTTTCAGCAAAGCAAATGAAAAAAAAGACAACCCAAGTGAGAAAACTGTAGTCTAAATCATTAATTCTTCAAGCCCAACTGTGTTCAGGACCAAGAACAGTTATACTGTATTTTTCAGAACCAGAATAAGCAATATGAAAAAAGATAATTAATAAAATCCTTCTAAGAAAAGGATGGTGAAGAACAGAGTGGGAAGTATCACACTCACAAAATAAACTGTAATTGATAAAAACCTCTGAGAAGTAACACTGTTCCCCATGTGAGGAGAGGGAAAAAATTACAACAGACAAGAAAGGAGAAAATCAGGGACTTCAGATACTACTTCACTCTTAAAAATGGTTGTACAAACGCCAAAAAATTATCTATGCAAAAGTGGCCCAATTCAATTACTACAAGTCTAATAAATGTGAATCTTAAGAAACTACAAAAGTTTAACATGTAGTTTTAATTCGTTGACGCAAAACTATGGTGATGAACTGTTGTAAAAGTAGGTAAGTCTAGCAGTTATTAAAATCTCTCCTCTTGCTAGTTTATGCTTTTGCTAATTATATAAAAAAACTTAAAGCCCAAAATACCCACAAATAAAATCCCAACAGGTTTGGGAAAAAAAAAAAAAAAAGCTTCCATGATTATGAAGTCAAGGAATTCTCTAAGGTAAAAAGTTAGATCACTAACTTTTCCATTCTCAGAATACAAAAAAAGAGTAAAAACCTAAATAATTTGGTCCAGTTCTACAGCCATATGTTCACATTATTTGGCTAGTATATATATTGATGAGACCAGTAAATGGAGTTGCGTTTTTTCACCCTTGTAGTCTAGCTGGGATGAAAAACTGGAAGACTCAAGGCACTGTCATGAGTCCATTTAAATGTACATATTCCTGTCTGACAAACTGTCCATAACAGCATCTAAAATGGCTTTAGAAAAAAGAAATATTTATTATTTTAGGACTTGGACTCAGTAAGCTCTAATCTATCTGCAACACTACTACCCCTGTAGCACAGTAATTTGTTTTTATTAAAATTCATCCGTCAGTTAAAAATGCTTTGAAGTGTGTTTCAAAAACACAGTAAAAAGTCTGAATCTTCAACCACCTTTCAATAAATATAAACAACCACCACATCTGAACAAGAAATAAGGTAACAAGACACTGGCAGAAACACTCAAATAGGTAAAAAGAAACTTTTGAAGAAGTCAGTCCTTCTACTACCCAAGTTATTACGTTAACCTGAAACCCACGCATGGGTTAGTAATGGGAAACAAATACATTTGTTCTGACTTAGCATGTCATTGGCATGCTAGGTTTTCAATAGGAATTTCATGAATGTAAAGCATAACCCAAGCTGAGATGGAAGATGAAGGTGTCACCTTGTTTTTGTTTCTACATGCTAACATCCATCCATAAGTTCACAGCACAAGCCTAACTCCATGAACTTTGTTGCTGGTTTCTAACACGCCCAGTGCACTGCCATTCTCATCCGTGTCAATAGGGTATTCTGGCACCCAGCAGCTGGAAGTTAAAGTGCACATGATCTTAAAAAGGCTTGTCATAATACCTGGCTTTTAAACACGACCTGTACTCTTCAATCTGAAATTTTACACCCAGTTTGAGCTATTTATTTTCTCCTATCAGTCATGAAACAAATTTAGAGCAATAAAATCTTGTAAAAGATGTCTTTAATGTTCTGACAGAGAAACCTTCTGCTGCAGTGCTTTGGCTGCAAACACTGCAGAGGAACTGTATATAAAAAGCTAATTTCTACTAGAATTAGAAAAAACATGGGAGATAGCCCCTTAAATTGGAGTACCTCATAAAGCCACATTTGAGATCAAATAGAGTTTGAAAGAAATCAGCAAAAGGAACGTGATTGTTTATTACTCCGTCCCAGAGGATCTTGTCATAAAACGAACAGTCATCAGGAACAACTCTCTTCTGACCACTGCATCACCCCACAGCGACACGGGAGGGAAGCGAGGGGCAGGAAACGGACAGGGATTCTGTCACAGAAGACAATCAAGGTTGTTTGCAGGAAAATGAAAGGGTTTGTCTTCGATAAATAAGCGACGGCTTCACAAAAGCGCTGACAGGAACTGAGGAGGGAGCCAGGCTGACACGGCGCTGCAGCCTGCGCTCGCCGAACCCCGGCGGGAGGGCCGGAGCCGCCTGCCCCGGGACGGTTCAGCCCTTCCCGCACCCCGTCTGCCAGGGATCGGGGTTTGGGCGGAAAACCCCGAAACAAGCAAACACACCGCCCGCACACCCACTCACCCAAACACAGCGCACCCCCCACGCCTCACGGCGGGCCTCGGCGGCCAGCAGCGACCCGGAGGCGACCCCCGCGCTCCCCGCCGCTCCGCCACAGCCCGGGGGTCGCGGCCCCCGACCTGTCACGGCCGGTGCAGCCCCCGCGGGCGGAGGGGCGGGGGCAGGTCGTGCCCCCCCCACAGCCGGGGTCGGCGGTGACCCGCGGCCCCACCCCCGGCGCGGAGCCCGCCGATGCCTCCGCAGCCCCGCAGCCCTCCGTCCCGGCCGGCGCGGGGATGACGGCGGCGCCGCGCACTCCATCCGCCGCCGGCAGCCCCGCAGGAAACGGCGAGGCGTCCCAGCGCCCGGCAGCGCGGCGCCAGGCCGGGGAGCGACGACGCGAACTCTCCCCGTTCTCACTCACCGGCATCATCTCCGCAGCCTTCTCTGCGCCGGGCCCGCCGAGCTGTGCCGGCCTCTCCCGCCGCCGCCGCCTCTCACCGCGGAGGACGCCGCGCTCGCCCTGGCGGCTGTGACAGGTGCCTCCCGCGCGCCTCGCTCCGCGCAGCGGGCGGAAGGAAGAGGCGAAGGCGGCGACGGCGGCCGGGCTCCCAACCCTCTTCCTCCTCCTCCGGAGCGCGGCCGCCTCTCCCGCCTCCCTCCCCGGGCGCTTCCTGCTCTGCTGTACTGTACTGTGCTGTGCTCTGCCCTGCTCTGCTCCGCTCCGCTCCGCCCGCGCCGCCCCGCCACGGGTTAACCCCCGCCACCGCCTCCCTGCCGGGGCGGGGCCGCGCGGGGAGGCGCTGCGGGCCCGCACGTGACCGCGGGGCCGGGCCGGGAATGCGGGACCGGCACCCGCGCCCGCCTCCCGGCCCCGCCGAGACCCCCTCGCTCCCGCAGCACCGTGCTGAGCGTGAGGCTCGCCACGCCGGTCCTCCCCCGCCCGGCCTCCTCCTCCCGGCGCTCTGCCGCCCTGCCCCCGGGCCGGGCCCCGCCGGGCGCCGCCTCCTCTGGGCGGGCTGCCCGCGGCCCGTCGCCCCCGGGCCCGGGCGGTGGCGGCAGGGGCAGCGGCCCCGGGCGCTCTCTGCCCCCGGAATGCGGGGAATGCGGGGCGGCTCCGCCCGGCCCGGCCCCACCGCTGGGGCTGTGACACGGGGGTCGGTGGTCTCCCGTGCCTCCGAGCTGAGGTCGCTTCCCGAAAGCTTGTCCTGGTCGAAAACACACCTTGGATAGAGTCATGCCCAGCGTCACCTTCCCTCCACCGTCCCTTCCTTGTGAAATCTGGTGTACAAAACTCCGCTTAGCAGCAGGAGAGGAAGGTATTTTTGTCCTGATGTCAGACTCATGAGATCTGGTCTCGTGTTTGAAACTAAGGTTCAGTTTCCTTCATTTTCTAGTCTCTCATTCTGTAGAGTTACAACAGCAAAATGAAGCCTAACAGCTTGGAAGAAGCCAAGCTCATCTAGAAGTCAAAACATCACCATATGTTAGTACTGCAACACATGCGATGTAGACAAATTTCATATTGCTGTGAGTCTTAAATCCTAATCTACAGCATACATGGACCTACCCAGTGCTCCAACTGTTTCTGAAAAATGGCTGGTTTCCAGTCTTTGTTACTTTATTTGCAGAACACCGTGACAGATCTCAGCTAGGCGCAGGGAAAAAAAAAAAAAAAAGTTAACTTGTCAAGTTTTTGAAGAGCTTAGATAACGTTTGTGTAAATCTTTGAGGGTAAGTGGTAATAGCATAATAATCTCAAGGTATGAGCCTGTATCATAAGCATAACCTATTCATGTAAGATTCTGAAACAGATAATTGTGTAAATTATCTTAATATATACATGCTTAAGATTTCACTGTGTATCCTTCTCAGTGCATTTGCAGGCTCTGGTGTCAGCTTTTTGACAGGTCAAAGACTCTGCCTCTTTTACTAAAATAGTCCTACAAGGAAAATCTATTAGCATCACAAGATAGTACTTTGCCAGTTTAACGTTATTTTGCAAGTACCAGTTGGAGTGCTACTTGCTGGCAATCACACTAATATCATCCTCAGGTTCTTGTAGACTGTGATTCCTCCTCACACACGGAGTTTGGAAATAGGTTACTCAAACCCCATATAGAACTACAAGATCTACTCAAAGAGTATTAACCCTGCAACTAGGCTGGCTTGAATAAAAAAGGCTCTAAAATGCTCATAGTCATCTATTTTAAAAAAAGGGGGAGGAGTGATTTATCTTCATCAAGTTAATATTGAATTTTAATCAACAAAATAATAGGAGTGAATAGACATTTACTTGTCTTCTCACTACTTACAGTAATTCTGATTTTAAAATTAAAAATTCTAAAATTCTAACACTGAGAGATTTGTGCATCTTTTGTCACACTTACTCTATAAAAAGTTAGTCTTTCTCATTGACTAGGTTAATTTTCATTGCCAGCAATTTTTAAGCAATGGTGTATCATTTTTTTTCCAGGTATACTTACTTGATAGCTGACATTTCCCTGCATTCAATGAATAATAATAAAAAATAAAATACTGTAATTCTTATCCCACTATTACTTTTACACTACAACAGCAGGAATACCTACAAAATGAAAAGTGAGAGAATATGATATAGACAACTGCTGGGGATGCAGACACTCCTTCACCCAACTCCTCTGTTGGAATAATGGCCTGTAATATAAAAGTTTGTCATTGTGTTGCTTTTGGCAGATGAAGGTTCAGCCAGTGCAGCAGCCAGACAGACTGGATACTGAGGGCTAGGAGGAAATGTCTTCAAAAGGTAGAGTAAGTACTTTATATGCATGTCTGCTCCTACTTCTATTTCTGCTTCCCTTGAAAACATCACTTGTCTCAATTCTTTCCATCTTCATTTTTCTCTAGAAATGTGGAAAGAAAAATAATATTGACCAATATTTACCAAGTATAATACTTAAGATTCTACCTGCAGCAGGGGAAGTTATCACTTCTCCCACAGAAAAATCTTCTTGGGAACCACTCTCTTAGCAGTCAAGAGACAAAGCAGCCTTTATAAAATTTTCTGATTCCAATTTGTAACCAGAAATCTGTTTACTGTGAGCAGAAAAACGGTCACTTATAATAAAGTAGCTTTTTTCCCCCCATTGTGCATGCATTTCCATACCAAATGACAGTTTTGTAGAAATTATAGTGCTTGGCCCAAGGGGCCAGTGATATCTACAACTCAGTTGCCTTTCTTGGATAAATGAGGTTGCATGAAAGCAGCCAGGATTTGGGGAATGCCTAAGAAGATAAGGGAAGAGAATTTGGTTATGGAAGCAGAAAAAAACAGAGGTACTAAACCCAAATAATTTCCTTCCAAATCCACTTCCTTTGTTAAAGGCATTCTAATTTTATTGACATATTTCTAAAGGAAAGGGTTTCTGCTGATTTGTTGGTGTAAATATTAAAACATGTTATACAAGGATATTTTATTCTCCTCTTGGTTCTTAAAAAACCTCAGCAATTCTATTTAACTTTACAAATTGAAACCACTGTAGCTTAACACATATTTTTTCAACTCATAATACATTAAAAATGAAGAATTACTGCTTATTAGTTATGGTATGGTGAGTTTTTGAGATGTGCGGAAGTCGTATTTACCTAGAAACTGAAATTTGATTTAAATGCATAAACTGTCATTTAGTGTTCTGCTAAAACATTTGGCACTTATGGGTACATAGAAAAAAATGACCAAAACCTGGTGTGCATTTAACCTAGGCTTACTGGAAAAAGGGGTTTTAACTTCTGTTAATAAATTGCCAGGCCTCTTATTTGATCATTATTTTTCTTAGGATAAGCAGAAATTCCCAAAGATAAAGGTGGCAGAATAATAAAATTTTCAGGAGCACTCCTGTAGAAATTCTGAATGCTACTTGTGTTTTCTAAGTATATTCTAGCAGGATTTCCAAATGTAGATGTTTTTAAAATTTTAAAAACTAATATGTCTGAATCTCTCCTACTTCTTTTCTCTGCAGAGACAAAAGGAGGAAAATGAGCTTTCCAACCTTTTGAGATCCAAGTGTTCTCCAGTTTTGCATTCATTTGTTAAGATGCTTTTCCAGAGCATAGGAAAATTTTTTCACGCTTTGGAGGTGTCACAGGAAAGTAATTTTGAATTAATGTAACACTTTTTTCTTTGCATGTGGTATTATTTTAAATAAAAGATACTGCTATTTATAGCCAGCAACAGTGTCAGAGGTCAAACATTTAGGGTGGGATCCATCTGATCCAACTTTACTAAGGTAGGAGTTAGGTGTGTCATTTCAATCACTCATTGAGGCTGCTCCTACAGATAAACCTGGATGGGGAGGGGAGAGAGGCAGTTCTGCAGGTAATTCATTCACGTCGAGATACTCATCCCACTATCTAAATCTCTTGGTCTTTGAAGGTGCCTATCTCTGTATTGATTTAGGATGGAGCCTGGATGACTAGCTCTGATTGGGGAGACTTTTGGATGGCTACAGTTCAGATGGGTTCACTCATAAATGGCAGAATAAAATCTCTAGAAGTGAGTATGGGTAGGAGCACTAGGGTTTTTTGCATGTATTTAAAAGAAATTATGTCTCTTTGCTAAATGAGTAAGTGGATTGCCTTAGTACAGAATACAACTCTCCTTTCAAAAATTGTATTTTACATTTGCTATAATGCAGGAGGAACTCACTCGGAGTAGGTAGGCAACTTAATAAGCTGAATGACAGAAGTACTTCTAACTTGCCAGGCAGTTCTCGGGTTGCTACACTGCAGTGCTGTGTAACAGATGATACAAACAAAAAGACTGACTGTTTCATGGGGAGTTTCACAGCAGGAGCCTAAAATCTTTACTGAAATACAGTGTAAAATAAAAATGTGTATGTAAAGGAAAGATATATTAATTTGTTACTGTGGTCTTAAGTAGCCTTTCATTCCAGAATCACACTGACAGTTCCTAAGGCTGCAGCAGTACCATGTTCCTACTCAATAGCCATATGCTGCCATGCTTGAATTCACATACAGCCAAGGCATTTCAAACCCCACCAAACCTGTTCAGAGATAAATAAACTACAAATAACAACCTAAAGCAAATACTTTGATGTCTGTTTGGTATACAGTACTTAAGACACGTGAACAGGAGAAAGATACTTTTTCATCACTGCCTTGTAATATTCTAAGGTAATGTATGCTGGACTAGGTGACTCATGATCTGAAGTTTCCCTGGCCCAGGACTTGGTGCATCATTCTGAGAAGTGTAACAATTAAAGCAGGAGTGAAGCATTGTGTGTGTAGCATAGCTGTGTGCACTTCATGGGATTTGGGTGTTTGGTATGTCATGTGTTCCAGCCCTGCATTTGGTGGATTAGAGGTAATTTCTTTAAACAATAACAGAAATTGTATACTTAATCCAATACACATGATGCAAAAGCACGTACTCAGTGGAAAATGCTGTGGTCTCATTAGGACTGTGTTGCTGTCCATTCTCATAAAATTATTGCACTAAAGGTATTGGTTTATATTGTAGCTACAGAAGACACAGTACTGTAAAATGACATGCCACCATCTTTATAGATGGAAAATCTTGTTCTGCTCCTCTGTAATTTATAACAAGGAAGACATGAACCATATGCAAAGAGGTGGAGAAAACAAAAACTGCAATGTTCTAGGAGATTTCCCTCTGCTTGTGCTTTTAGGCTTTATAGACATTTGAGCTCTCAGGATGTTTCTTTATAAAAATCCTTTTTCTTCAAATTTTCAACATGCCCATGATGAGTGCAAGTATCTGAGATGAGCCAGATGATGGGTCATTAGTTGAAACATTAATTAGGGACAGTCAATCCTTCACTCTTTACTCCTGCTTTATTTATGTGCTACTGTGTTTTGGGTGTACCACTTGGTTAATGTGAAGGGAAAATGATGGCCCACGTTTTAAGGTTGAGCCCAGCTTTTTAATTTGTTACTGTAAGACTAAAATTGTTCTCACGTATCTCTTCTATGACTTAACTAAGTGTTTTTTTACACTTAAAAAAAACACTTAAGTGTTTTTAACAGTTTCTGTGTAAAAAAATTATCTTTCAGCTAAAAGGTTAATGCAGAATTCTGTGATACGTGATCAGTTTTTCCCTCATGCTGCAAAAATTTTGGGTTTTTAGTCTTCAATTTTCCTATTAACCACATCATTCCTTTGTTTTAGATTGCCAGCTACTTATTTAATATAAATTGAAACCAACCTCCTTTCTTTTCTTATGTTTACTGCTGTATCAGATGCAGGTTTGTTTTCATGCTATATTTATATTACTGCAATATTCAAATCCAGTAATTCCTAATTTGAAATGTGCATCTTCTACTAGAATTTGTCCATTTCTTAGTTACCTTTCTTGAGGTAAAGAGATCTAGTAAGAACTAACATGAAGGGAGTATCATGTAATGAAGCTGCTGCTTCCTGCTATTGAACCTGGTCATGGGTGAACTTAGACTGCAGATTGAAGGGCAGTTTGGGAAAGTCCTCTGCTCAACTCTGAAGTCTGTACTGAAAGGTATTTTCTAGGAATTACTGACAAAGTGATGTGCAGAGGAGTCTTAGAGAGGAAAACATGCCTCTGAGCAGAAGAATGCTCATGCAGAATAGGAGAAAAAAATATAAACCAAATTAAATATGTATTAAAAAAAACTTATCTGTTTCTACTTAGTATTTAAACAACTATATTATTAAGACTACACAACAGGAAATAACATTCTTTACCTTTTTTTTGACAAATTTTACAGATTAGAATATACAAGGTAAGTCTCTTAAGAGACTAGGAGTATAAATCTGTTGAAAAAAACACCATTGCAGATGTGCAACAGGTTCTGATTTAACATGCATCTCTGTGGAAAACATTTCTGTACTCTCTCACATATGTATCAATATAAATAGACACACACACACACACACACACACATATATATATATAAACACCACCTTAAATTACCATTTTTTCAGCTTTTTGATTTCCAAAAATTGGCAGAGCATGGCTGTCTTCTATACAGTATATACAATTTATTGTGAATCTGAGTATTTCAGTCACAAACACTATTTTTGTAGTGCATTTTAAAAGAAGGAACATCTGCACTCAAGTAATCTGACCAGCAGATGTAATCTAACATTTGCAATTATGATTTTTGCATGCTATGAAAAGAATGAGTTTGTGCCTTATTGATGCTTAAAGTTCATCCCTTCTATTTCTGTAAATATTCCTTTTCCACTTAAAGCGACAATATTCTAGTCCAGGGAACATTCGTGAGACAAGTTGATTCTGTTTCCAAGTGCCCTGTTTTGTAATCTTCCAGAAATACATTTCTGAATAATTATTTTTTTTAACTACTGTGATGCTACAATAAAGTTTACTACAGTCCTTAGCTGCATAAACAGAAGAATGTCAAGAGTAGAAGCAGATGAATTGCGTAGGGCATTGATGGAACCTTATTGAAAATATTCAGTGAAAAGCTCCTGAAATAGTGACAGAAGAAAATGTATCACTGATATATGTTTAGAATCTATTTTAGGTTGACTTATTCAAAGAAGATACCATAATATGCAGCTGAACCTGAGAATATTTAGAAGGCTGGAATGGAGTGTGTTCATCACGGAGGAGTACACCCAATAATAACCTACTTGCTGGGGGATGATTAGATACTACTTTAAAGTTTGTCTACTGTTTATGTCTCAAATTCAAAACCAGTATTTCTATTCTGTAGAAAGGTACAAGGTACTATAATATTTTTTCTATTTCTTCCATTTTCCTATGAGAAACATTTTTTTTTCCTTGCCTTCTGCCTTCCTTCTAGAAAGGTCTGAGTATATGTTTAATGTACTATCCTTAATTTAAAAAGAGGTGTGATCGTTAGCATTAATAAGAATACATAATTTGAAAGTAAAGTAAAAATATTTTTTGCAAGATTCATTTTCCAGTTGCTTTACTCCAAAAGAATTACTTAAAGTATGCTGAACAGTATTATGTCTTGGCGTTTACTTAAACCAAGAGTTAGGTCCTTTGTTAAAACTGGTATGACTCAAATTCTTAGCTTACTGAAAGAAATGCAGAATTTAAATTTTAGCCAATTATTTTAAAGAAGTGTCTAGAGATCCTGAGACCAGAAACATTTTCTTTTAAAGCTGTATGTGATATGTGGAATACAACATCAGGGGTATAAGGAGAAAATTATAATGTCAGATTTAAGAGAATTTAAGCTAGACTATTTCTCTGTACAACTGCACTAAATTAAAAGGTATACCTGAAACATCATGAGTATGGAGTCAATAATAATGCTGAAAAAAGCATAGCTTGAGACATATATATATGTACAAAATAAACAATCGAGCTAATTATAAAAGTGGAAATGCTTTTGGTTAGACATCCTCTAAAAGGGAGACAGGTCCCTATATTCTTGGTCCTCTATCAAATGCCTGTTCACATTCTAGTCCACTGATAAATCCCTCCTTTTTTCTCCCATAATACTCTGCTTCTTTTCAGTTTAGTTGTTGCCAGTTTGCTTGTTTACATAACATTCCATATGAAATACCTCACAACAGTTTCTACTTCATACCTAAAGAATTCCCCTCTAATTGAAACAATTCTTAATATCAAAAGCATGCTAAACACAACAGGTTAAAACAAGAAATGAAGACTACAACTAATACTGCAGAAAAAAAAAAATCTGTGTAGGCAGCAGTCACCACAGATGGGATTCATTCAGTATACAGCTCTTAGTTCTACCACCCACATAATCCCCATTATCATTTCCTACCAAACATACTTCATTAGCTCTGAAGAAATCTCTATTGTCTCTCCCAGCAGATCACTGAAGGTACTGTCATGATATGGATATAAAAGTTAAAGGTCATATCAATTAAAAACCATTCCCTTACAATCCTTTAGAAGGTCATAATAATTAAGAATATTTTCATTTTATGGCAACCAATAATATAGTCTAATGAACCACTACCAATTTTATCCTTTATAAGTAGAAGTATTCTTCCTGCTAGTACCGAGCATTAGGATACCATCATCCAGTGGTTCACCCTGTTCCCTATTTGTTTGTCCATTTGTCCCAATTAATTAAGTGATAGTATAAACTTGAGAAAGCAATGTGCTGTCCCAGAGGAAGGAAGCAAGGCTCTGCCTTTGCTGGAGCACAAGCTGTCATTCCTGATTTCTGTTGAGGGTGGAGTTGTGCATTCTTTTTACTGCTCCAACTGTTGACACTGATGACAGTTCTTCCAGGAGAGACAGAGCTTTGATCATGTGCATAGCTGCAGATGAGGAGGAAACTTGCATTGCCTTGTTATGAGGGACACAATGACTTAGGGAACTTGGCTGAGTAAATGGCAGGATAGAAATTCTGATTCTTCTGCCCTTTTTCTGCGACCCCCCCTTCCCCCCTCAACTTCTGTGCTATCACCTAGTTATAAAGCAGCTTTGCTGTAAATGGAATCAGATGGGTCCAAATTAAAATGAGCTTCTTGTGTTATTTTAAATGGGGAAAATGCCATAAAATTATGCAAAATCATCTGATCTAATTCACAAATAACTGTATCAACACAACTACAAGGAGCAAGGCACTGCAATGTTAAGAGTGCAAACTCCACAAGCTGGTGTAGCTGCTGGAGTACTCATATTGTTAAACCACAACCAAAGACAGAATTTAATTAAAACCTCTAAATCATCCATTCTTGTGGTGGTCAGTTTGTTTTGGGTTAGGACAGAATAATTGTTTCCAAGTACTTTGCCTGCAGCAGTGAAGTAGGCAGACTGTCTTATTTATAAGATTTTAATAAATTACCAAATCAGCCATGTGGCTTTATGTTCTTAAAAATATTAGCTGCTAAATGTTAGTTGCTAAAGTCATGGAATTATAGTTTGAAGAGTTTGTTGTTCAAGCACTATCGTATCACTTCTTGTTCCTCCATTTAATGACTTGTTAACGAATGTTTTTAATGCCTCAGGGACTCTCCATCTCACTATTCTTTCCTTCCCTGTAACTCCACAGATTTCTTTGAATGAAACAATGGAGGTTTCACAGATTGATTTCCTCTGTTGCAATTTAGCCAGCTGGTGGTGATGTCACACACAACCACCTGTGTCTAACAAGCACCTGATACTGTTCCTTCCTTAAGGATTCAAAGTACAAGACATGTACATACCAGCTCTGTATCGGTGTTTGTACTACAAACACTGAATTGCTATCATGATTCAGATAAACAGGAGACTTGTTCAGCTGTTTTAGTTACTTTGGATCATTTCCTGCAGCTTTACTCATCCTCCAAATTAACATGAATACTACTTGGGTTTTTTCCAAGTTAGCCATTAAAGAGGTTAAGTAGGTTGGGCCTTGTGACTAATGTTTCCTTGGCTCTGACTGTATTTTGCTGCTCCCCTAGAGTATTCCATCATACTTTATTAGCATGCAGGAGAAACTCTGAGATTCCCAATTGTAGGACAGAACTTGAAACGTTCTAGAAATTTCCAAACTCCAAAATGTAATCCCAGTTGTAAGACCCAGCATGGGGGGGCAAGTACAGAAGTACTTGTACTGTAAAAAGGTATCTTGCATTAGCATTGTCATCATTAATACAGTTTTCTACTGCTGAGCTTTCATGTTCTGTATTGATTATAAAAAAATAAGTTACCAGTGCCACAACACGACTTAGTCAAAAGGATGCTGCAGTAATTGGATGAGGTTCTTCAACCCCTAAAGATGTTTGTTGTTCACTAACATGGTAAAGGTAGTGAACAGGTTTTGTCACTGCTGATGCCTCATCACAGGCAGCAAATTAAGAATGCAGTTGCTTAACTATTTTACTACATAAAGTTTAAATGTAATTCTGTTTTAGAAATGTCAGCAATATAGAGGCAGCAGCTAAAGGAAAGCAACATGATCCATTAATGTGCAGTAAGCATATCCCTCACCAGTGTTTAATTGTGAATCATGATGAATATTACATCCACGGATTAATGTCCTGATCTTACATAATCATTTGCATAGCAAATGGGTTTGTTCAGGAGCTAAGTATTGTCTGTTTAGACACTTACCTGGAACAAGAAAATATTTTTGTTTTAAGTTAGCTTTAGAAATCACCTTAGCTAAATTACTAAAAAGGAAAAAAGGCACATATTCTAAAATAAGAGTATTCACTTCAAGGGTGGGTATTCCTTGAAATGTTTGTCTACCTAGAGCTATGCTCCAGGCGCTAGTGCTGCAATGAAAATTTATTACTCTTTCTATCTACTTGCTGTAGATATGAAATGGCTCTAACAATGCCTTACTTTGCTTTCCTCTATTGTGTTTACATTTCTTCAGCATAGAGAAGCAGGAAGTATAGAGACAGTACTACAGGTGTTACATGTTATGGGTGTGTTGATTTCTGCTTTCGAGTCAAGCCACTGACTGATTTCCTCCTTCTGTATGCTACTCAAAAAAACCAAAACAAAACATCTATTTAAACATAAACACCAGTCTTACTTCCTCTATCTTTTGCAGATATTTTTGTTAAGGATCACAAAGGAGGAAATATTCTGTAACCTTCATAGAAATTCCTGACAGAGAAGCACCAATGGAAGAACCAGTTGCATATAGCATTCAGTAGAAATTATTATTTCTATAATGCAGACACTGCTGCCCATATGTACTTTCCTTCCCTACTAGAAAATAAAGCAAGTCAGATAGAAAGAAGTGTTAAGACTTAAAGCATGTGAAGTTTACCTAGAAGTGCAGTGAAGTGTGCTCCAAGGGCAGGTCAGCAGAAGCTCTTCTTGCCTTCCAACCCAGGAGATCAGAAGAGCATGTTGATGTACCTCAGTGACAATGGTCTGGCTAAGGTGAAGCAAATTCTGCAGTGATTAGTATTTTTTTACTGATATGTCTGCCTGAGCTCTATAATTGAAAATTCATAAAGCAGGTCATTTGAAGTATGTGTGGTATCTTAGGAACTATAACTTGGTGATCATAAATTTGCATTACAAATGCTCTTATAGGTTCTTACTTGGCATAAATTTTCAATCTGAACTGCTTATTAAGTATACCACAACTCAACCACCCTGTAATTACCACTGGCTTAATATCTGTTTATTTAAGTTCCATTTTCTTCTAGTTTTTATTCTCTATTCCATTCTGTTGGATGCTTTTGATTTTATGTAAAAAAATTTAGGAGTTCTTTTGATTTCTCATTCATTTTTCGGTGGTGAGGAAACAGAAAAACCCATATAAAAATGATTAAAGAAATCAACTAAAACAGATTAAGGAAAGGTGTAACAAAGAAAACTGTGGAAGGTGGAATAAATATCAAAAATACATGAGGGACAGATGTCACCTTTTCAAACTAGTGATGCTAAACTTGCCTTCTTTAAAAAAAAAGCTCTCAGAGAATTAAGACTGTAGATTTTACTTTACTCAGTAGGTACAGCTAATTAAGTATAAGAATAAATTTTGAAGAAATTAAAGGCAACAGTGTTTGGAATGTTTACCATCAGCAGGTAAGGTTATCAAGTTCCTGAGTGTTTGAATACTAAACATTTAAGCTATGGCCAGATACTGCAGTCAGGACATTGAAAAGCAAAACTTTAATCAAGCTGAAAGATTTAAGATGTTTCAGTGAAGTAGTTAAAAAGATGTACGTAAGCATTAAGTCATTAAAATGACTTAAGCCTCTTAATCTTCTCAAAGGCAGATTAGGCTAAATTTAAGCAAAACATGTCATGAAGTCCAGTTTTCATTTTACACACCATGTATCCTTGGTACATAATTCAGTATGCACAGTTCTGAACACTGATCTTCAGAAGATAGCATATGTTCCTACAGCCTCCAAAATACACTTGCTATGGAGTTCTAACAGCTATCTGCAAAAAACATTAATACCCATCCCCACCCTAATAACACAAGTATTACTTCGACACTTCTAGGAAAAGGGAAAACTCTTTGAAGCCAGTTAAATGTTTGTGCTCAGACCAACTGCTCCTCATACCAACAGTGCGTGATTTCATTATTCCCTTTAAATTCTGAGGTTTTCTGAGGTAAGCTCCAATGGCAAACAAAAGTCCATGTAATATCGAGCATCTTATACAATATGAGCATGTTATTACTTATTCCTTTGCAAAACTTGTGACTAAAGGAAAAGACTTTCAGAATAATTTCTTAGTTCTACTGAATATGAAGGACAAAAAATATACTTGTCAATCTTGCACTTTTAAAAAATATTTGCAATATTTTACATGGTGTTTTTGTAACAATCTAACTTTTGCTTTTAAACCCTGCAGAACTATTAACTGTTTAAAAATGTAAGAGTTAAAATATAATTTTGGTACCCTTGATTACTGCACCACAAGTTGGCAAAAAGCTGGGGATTAAGTCCTCATACTTGGCATCCTATTAAATTACATTTTTAAAGTAAATAGCCAAAAAAACTATTATTTTGGGGGGGAGTGTGGAGGAAGGGAAGGAATCTAATTCTATTAAGAAGTTTAGTTATAAAGTAAACTTTTAATGTACTGTTGAAAAAGTCTAACAGAGAACTGTAGAAGCTTATTCTAAAAGTTAGGTTAGCACTGAACTCCAGCATATATTGTCCAACATCTTTAATTTCTTTTTGCTCAGTGGATTTATTCTTTTTCCAATTACAGCAGATGGATCAGGTACAGTTCTAGTATGATTGTAACTCCCTTCATTTGCAGTAGAAATGATGAACCACCAAATTCATATTCCAAGAAGAGAAGAGATCTTTAATGATGGCCAGAACCAGAGGACTCTGAAACAAAGACACAATTTAGGCTGTTCAAACAGTAAAGCAAATCAATTCAGGAATGTAGTGCAGGACCTAAAACTGACAACTGTACTTATATCTGAGCATAAAAATTGGCTATTCAAATGAAACAATACCCTCACAGAATATGTACATAGGTAAATCTAGCAAATACTAAAATTTCTCTTTTACAAGTTTTAAAGCCCTATTACAGTCAAACACCCATTCTTCCTTGATTTTGTTATGGTTCTTCCAGAACTGGAGTTCATTTACACTATTATTCTAATTCTACTAGGCAGTATTTTCTCTAATTGCACATTTCAAAAAGTGAATAATGTTTACATGTACAAGTTCAACTGCGAGCATATGGGTTCTCTCTCATGCTGCAGAAAGTGAACTGAGATGCAGCAGGTCATGAAAAGATAAATTCCAGTGTGGTGTCAGAACAAACTGCCCCTAAATATCAAAACACTACTTAATAAAGATACAAATTCAAAACACAAATTTATACTTTCTAGTTTCTTGATAGCTAAAATAGCAGGTACTCTTGAAATCATGCTAATTTAAGTAATTCCACTAAATGGTTGTTACTGTTATTTGAAAAAAATTCTTCGCCCACACACTCAAGGTATAGAATTTCCATTTTACTCCTAAAACCTACAAAAAAGATTATTTATGTACCGATCCACAGTTGTTTCTAGGTTATAAAATTATCAATACAACCAAAATTACTTATTTTGAAGTAGCCTTCAACCATTTGCTAATACTGTAACTTAAGCCCCAAATTTATCTAATGTAAAATATTCTGAACTAATTTTTAATGCACTTTTTAAAAAATCACACCAAAGTATTAGATATCTAATACTTACTATTTCCTGATGATTTTTTGCCTGGGAAAAAAAAAAGAAAAAATACGCTGAACAATGACAGTTAAAAATATATTTCCTATTTACTTTTTACAGATAAATTTTAATTAGATTATTATTAGCTTAAACAAGAATTGAAAGTGTACAACATGCACTTCCCATGGTACATTTCTGTAAACTTTATATTAATTTCTAAAAGTTCTTTGTTTTTAATTAACCAAGACTCCATGCATTTAGAAATTATAATCCTCAAGATTTCTACCGTAATTCAAAAGAAACTTCTATGGAATGATGCTATTTTATATAATATATAGATATATACACACACAAGATATGGATGTAAACTGAAGTGAAGCGTTTGCTGTAAAATTTTCCTTTGTATTTTGTATTCCCATTGTAATTGTTCACCTAAAACACTGGGTCAAAGTGATTAAAAAAAAATTCTTCATAAGGAAGACTTTGTTATAAAAGATTGTACAATCTCCATCCCTGGAAATACTCACTTAAATTAAGAATAAGGTAATAAGCAATCTGTTTGGACCAGGTGAGCTCAAGAGGTCCCTTCCAATCTGATTTATCCGACAACATACTCTTCTGTAATTCCATATGTTATTTGCAAAAGTATCCCCCAAAGTGCAGAAAGGGCTACAGGTATTAAAAACTATTTTCCATTTCAAATAAAGCTTAGCATACAGATGCCACTTATCCAGGTTTTTTTGCCCTCAAAAGTCCACACTAGGTCAAGAATTAACAAAGCATGACATGAAGACAAGTTTGAAACAATCTGTCCATTTTCAACTCTCCTTGAAATAAAAGATTAAATCCAAACTTTAAACTTTTTTTTTCTTCCTGTCTATCTCAACTACTCATATTTACCTAATAGTCATTAGGTACCCATTAAGATCAACTACTTATATTTACTTAAACTTTGAAGTGCAGTGTATCAGTTTTGGAATGCTACACACTATTTGGAAAAAGCTAGAGAAATACTGATGTAATATCTCTCAGCTGCTCCCATAGCAAGGGGTTCCTTTATCTAATTTACAACACTTCATTGCTCACAACACCCAGTAAAGGGTTTGGGATTTATTGAGCATAGCCTAAATTGACAAACAGGACCTTTAAAACACTATAATCTCTTGTACCCTTCTGCTTTAAGGGACCTGGCCCATTCAAATTTATTATTTTTATGTTAGCTATTCTGTTTCTTTATCTGAGAAAGTTATCCAGTGTCACCAAGTACCACACATGCTCGTGTTCAGTGATGTAGCTCTCATTTTGAGATGCCATCAGCCCAAAATACACTCTCACATGATCATGTGAGAAAACCTTTTTAAAACTTTTTTTTTTCCAAAATCTCAAGCAAGTAAGTTAGATCTGCATTTTAAAAACCAAAACCTACATTATCTAATCTTCATAATGTAAGCACAGTTACACTGACATCTGAGTATTTTTGTTAGTGGAACCACCTACAATCAGCATTTAAAACACCTAAATTTTTATAGCAAAGACCTGGCCCTAAGGAAGAATGTTAATTTCTGATTTGCTGGCTATCTTCAATGACTGATTCCTGTTGTGGGTATTCTCTTCTATAAAAAAAAGACTATTATGTGTGACTTACCCCCATATGAAATCTTGTAGTAGGCGTAAGTTGTTAATGCTACACCAACCCATATTTCTTGATACACAGTAGAGAAGTAGAATGTCATGGGTCTCAATGCCTTTGGAATCATGGTCTGCACCATCTGAAATTTATAAAAAGTGTTGTCGTTTTAACTTTGGTAGCTGTATTCTTACCTGCTGGATTTTTAACATATATACAGACACACATACATATATTTATCTATCTTTATGTATACATACACACTCCTAATGCATATCAGCAGCAGTTTACAAAAAAATCCCCAAGCATGCAGACGTGCTTATTCCAAAGCAAATAAATTCAGAGTTAAAGCTACAATTTATGGGCTAACACAAAAAAAAATTAAATTACAGTTGATGAAAGAGTTCAAAGATGAGTCAACAGAACATTTACAGAGCAGCAACAGATAGATTTCTCTCTGCCTATCAGTAACAGCTTTTTCCTAAAGTTTTGACATTCTCGTAGGAGGAAGTCTCATTCCAGACAAGCCAGAGAGGCTCCTTCCTTGCACTACCAATTTAGCTTCCCGCCCTCGCAGCTGTCTCTTCCAGCATGGTAATTTCTACTCAAAATAGCAACATAAATGATGTTAAGCTGATAAATTCATGCTTTATCATAACTATTTGACTTTTAAAATACGCCCCAAGAGCAAGAAGCTTGTCAGTGTTGGCAGTTTTTTCCCTTCCATGCAGCTTTGTAAGACAAAGAGAAAATTGTAGGAGGTTTAGAATAAAGATTATCTTAACTCCCATAAATATTAGTTCACATTTGCACCACACTGCACTGAGATACACCAAATCTTATGCACACTCAATAGTCACTACTGACACTAATTACAACCCAATAAAAAGTCAGACCCAGGAAAGAAAAGCAGAGTTAAGTTTCTCTGAGGTAATGCTCACTTATCTGCTGTTACTAAATGTAAAGCATCGTTTGGTAACACATCTCCTCTCTAACAACAGAGGGGGCAAAGGCAGCCATTGTCAAAATAATTGGGAAAACCTAAGTGTTTCTTAAAGAATGAAAGCAAATTTGAGGCAATTTGTATATAATTACATACAAACCCACATTACATTTATTAATGGACAGTCATTTCAGTAATTTATTACTGTGGCAGAAGTTCCTGAAACACCTTTATCCTTTCACCAACGCTATTAACGACACTGCATTAAGGACACAGCTTACCTAAATTTCAAGCGTTTGTAGTTTCAGATGAACAATGGAATATAAACAGTTACTCAGCTACAGCAGAATATCAAGACATACTAACAAACCAGGAGACTGAACAGAAGAGGAAGGAAAGGGTTCCCCACCGCTACAGAACACAGGGAATAAGCAGTGCCGTTTCCACTTAACCCCGTGCCAAAGCCCGGCAGACACCTTTCCCCAGGGCCTGCGCGGGCGCGACATGGTTCTGAGGATTTTTTTTCTGATATGTACCCGGAACAACGCTGTATCTGCTCTCTCCTTGCCCTCCCCGCCACATCCCCCCGCAGCTCGGGGCACCTGCCCCAGCCCCGACCCTGCACGGGGGCGGGCCGGTAACGGCAAAGCTCCAGCGCCGCGGGCCGCGCTCCCTTTCTCCCTTCTTCCCTTCCCAGGCTGGACCAGCGCTGCCCCACCCCAGCCACCCCCGAGCGGTGCCCGCCGGGAGCCAGCCGGGGCTCGCCGGGCCCGGACCCACCGTGCCAGCGCAGCGGCGAAGGTCACACTCGGGACGGGGACGGCTCCGCTGCCGCCGCGGGGTGCGCCGGGAAGCGACGCGCGGCGGGCGCGGACAGCAGCGCCCCCTGGGGCCGCGGAGGACCAGAGCGCCCTCGCAGCGCGGCGGCGCCAGCCCCGCTTCCCTCGGAACCGCCCCGGAGGGCAGGGACCGCGGTGAGGCACCTGGAACAACCTCGCTCAAGCAGGGTCATCCCAGAGTTGCGGCACAGGATTGCATCCAGATCGTTCTTTAATATCTCCAGTGAGGGAGACTCCACACCTTTTCCAGGCAACCTGTTCCAGTGCATGGTCACTGCACAGTGATGTTCTTCTCGTGTTCAGATGGAACTTCCTGTGCATCTGCTTCTCCCTCTTGTTCCATCACTCGGCACCACCGAGAAGAGCCTGGCTCCATCCTCTTGCCACCCTCTGTTTAGATATTTATACACACTGATAAGGCCTCCCCTCAGTCATCTCTTCTCAAGGCTGGACAGGCCCAGTTCTTCCAGCCTTTTCGCCTGGCTCCATCCTCTTGCCACCCTCTGTTTAGATATTGATGCACACTGATGAGGTCTCTTCTCGAGGCTGGAAAGGCCCAGTTCTTTCAGCCTTTTCTCATGAGATGCTCCAGGCTCCCAGTCATTATCTGTTGTCCTTCACTGGACTTGCTCCAAGAGCTCCACATCCCTTTCATACTCAGGAGCACAGAACTGAACTCAAAACTCTACATTCACCTCCCCTAGGCTGAGCAGAGGGGCAGGATCACCTCCCTCGATCGGCTGGCAATGCTCTTCCAGTGTCAACCTTCACCTCAGTCCTGCTTCCCAAGAGCAAGCACAGCAGGTCTCATGCCAGGACAATGTGGGGAAGGGCCTGTCACAGTCTGTGCAGCGTGTCCCTCAGGGAACAGCTTGTCCTGGAGGAGCGCGAGGCACCCGCTGGGCCATGTTATGAAGTCTGAAGCACCTACGTGTTTCCTCCAGGTGCAGGAAGGACAGGGTGACTGGAATTACAGAGCTGTGCTCAGGCATTGTTCTGTGGGGGAGAATGACCGCCCAGGCCTCCCAAGGATGTGATAGGAAAACAGAGCTCGGACCTTTATTTTGTGTGTTAAAATCTTTTAGTCGGATCACAGACTGCATTTATTTTCCCAGTGAGTGATTTACACCATCTGCAGGTGTATAGATTCGCTACGTATGAGCTTTCTCACACAGTGCAAACAACACTTCTTGGATGGGCATTTTTTGCATTTAATATAGGACCATAACTTATGTCAAAATACTGTATGTATGTCACCTCTTTCATTTAAAACTTTTAAGACCTCTTGAAATTTTAGTGAGGAAAATCCCCTTCTTTAATTTAGGAATTTGAGGCTTATACATTAAGCAACGAGAGGCTGTGGTATCCATACATCTCTACATATATCCTGGATTTGTATTTACCTATCTGAGAGTAACAGTTCTAAAGCAGTCGAATGCCGGCATTGGATCAGGTACTCAGTGTGGAGATGATAAATCCTGTTAGAGAAAGCAAGGTCTACCCTGTGTTCATATTGGTTTTAATTATTTATCTGATTTAACAAATTACACGCAGACGTTTTCAGTTATTTCAGAAGAGAGGATTACAGGATTGAAGGGAAGTTCAACAGTCACGTTTATCTTAATTCCTATTCTTCTTTTGAAATTTATCCAGTAGGCATGACAGACCTTAGCATTCAACCCTGCCGTATACCTCTGGTCTGCGCCTGGAGGTCCTGCCTTTCTAAGGCAGGCTTTAATAAATGTTGCGGGTGGGTTTGGTTTGGCGGAGTTGGCCCGCAGCTGCAGGCGGCCGGCGCGGGGAGGGCAGGCGGCTCGCAGCCGGAGCGCTCCCGCCGGGGCGGGGCGGGCGGGTGTGCCCGGGCAGGGCGAGGCGCGGCGGCGGCACCGCGTGCCGGGCCGCCGTGGCCGCCATGCTGCGGAAGCTCCCCGAGGGACAGCGCCGGGACTGGTTCACCGTCGGCGGGGCCGTCACCGCCGTCGAGCTGCTGGGCGAAGAGGCGCGGGTCGGCCGCCCCGGCGCTTCTTCCCGCTGCCCCGCACAGGAGCCGCTGAGGACTGCGGGGTGAGTGCGGGGCGCTGGGCCGCTGCTCTCGATGGCCTCCATCTCTCGTCTCCGCTGTGCGCCCCGGGCGTTCCAGAGCCAGGGCAGCCTCCTCTGGCTCCCCTGCTCTGGTGGGCCCAGGCTGTGTAGTTGTTGGATTCCAGCCTAACACCTCCGGTAGCATTTGTGGCTGATGTGGTTTTGTGCGTTTAATATTTAATGTTGTTTTCTGCTTTGCTGCTTAGGTGTATTGTCTCCGTCATCACTAGATGTGTTGCGTGTAGGGTTCGCTTTCTCTGAAGTGACTTAGCGCTGGTGTGCAGCTGTACCTAGTCCTGTTAAAAAACTGTACAACTGTACTAAAAACGACTCAGTTTATTCTGATTCAGATGCATTAACTTAAAATTTTATCAGTGGCAAGTGATAAATGAGATTTAGGAGTTCATTGCTGTCGTGACTTAAGGAAGCGTTTAAGTTACCAGAGTAAAGCAAGACAGAGTATATCGACGGATTGTTCCTTATTTGTTATTCTCAGATGGCAGAATTTACAGCAACGAGGACTATATGTGTGTTTGCATAGCAGCCAGATACATTTGCTTTTCACTGGAGTCTGGATATTGAAATCCAAAAACTACTTCTGGATGCTGCCTGGAGTGTGGCAGAGGATACTAATCTTGGTGTTAAGACCAGGTGTGGTAGTGTATCTGTGGTTCCTGTAGGGAGCTGTTTTGTATGCACTTCCATATAGTATTTTTCAAGATGAGCTGGGCATACACTCCTGTGTGAGTGTTTTGGGTTTTATTTTTCCATGTGTGATGCACAGCAATAGAGGTTGCTGTGTTTTAGGAAGGTGTATTTATCTTAAAAGGTGTACACTGGCATCTGAGAAAGAATGAGCTTCTTGTGTAACATCTTGCTATCAGGTAGTCTGATATTTCAGCAGAGTCTGTTCAGGCTGTCAGTGTTTCTGTATTTGCTTCAAATGAAGGACAAAACTGGCACCTCAAAATACCTGTTCTGTTTTATCTTTCAGTGTAAAGGTGCTGCCGTTACCAAGCTCTGAGTTACTGACCAAGAGCTACTGGGCTTTGTGCAAGTAGTTAAAATTTTCCAGAAGTGACCAGACAGAATTTTACAGTTCTTTTAAATTATTTCTGTGAATGTAATGCCTCAAGCCAGTACAAACAAGATGTCTGTAACTTCTCGGTTTTTATTTAGGTGATAGTAACGTTTCTATAGTATTAAGTGTTTGACTCTTTAACCTAGCTGAGTACTAAGCCACAAGATCTATTTTATGTATTTCCTGTACACAGGAGAAATAAAGAAGATTGATCGAGCCTTGTGTGACTAGGCAGAGGTACATCTTTATTTTAGGTTGGATAGAAAGCTCATTCCACTCACAAGTCTTAGCAGATGACCTGATTGTGAGTTTGACAGTGGTGTTTGTAGGGAAAAAATTATTTTTACAGGTTTGGTTTTATAATTATTTTTCTCCATGTCTGAGTGGATCAGAAGCAATATGTATCTTAAATGACCATTTATGTAAGAATGATGTGGGCAGAATTTCTCAAAAATAGCTATAAAACATTTGAGCATAGATGACAGGTGCATATCTGTCCTGCCACAAAATGGAAGGAATCTGTATGAGAAGCTTAGGTGTGTTTTGTTTCCGTGCATACTTCTGTTTCACAGCTCTGGGGATGTGCTTACATTTTGCTTGTTTTTGCAAAACTTGAAGTCTCTATAGGAGGTTTAGATTTAAGCATTTCAAAGGAAGTGCTTGTATTTTATTCACTGACTTCTTAAGAAGGAGTTTGAGGAGCTGAAAACAAAAGAATTTCTCCTCATTTATTGAGGCTGCTTGTAGCATAATTGTATACTTCCTTGAAAATTCTTTTTTGTTTCTTGGGAAAGTCAAAACTAAATACTCAGATTTTCGAAACGCTTATATATATTTATTTGAAGCTGGATATACAATTACTGATGGACACTTGTCTGCCTACCAGTTTTGTCTAAATTTGTATGTGAGAATGGGTGTGTTTAATACCGAATTGGTAATAACAGGCACACGAGTGTGTGTAATAATACTTTAGAGAAACGTTACTGAGATTGTTTAATGGGATCTAAAAGTATCGTGTCTCCCTTAAAATGAGATGTAGATTTTGTTTGCTTCCTTTACTGATGAAGGTTTTAAGGTTCTTTTGCTTCCTGAACTACTTCTAGAATAGCAGTATTAGTAATTGAGCTGCTTGGGGAAAGGCAATAGAAATAGAAACTGTATGAAATCTGACTGGAATTTCTGTCTTAAACAGCTTATTAATTAACTTTTTAGTTTCTTTTGTTATGTTTAACTGAAAGAAAATAAATTTAGACCCTTAAATCCTTCCTTGGTATCCACACATTAAGACGTTAAAGGCTTAAGTGTGTATTTTCTGCATTTCACAGGTGCACCTTTCACCAAGTTAGCACCTTTTTGAAACTGATTACTGGCTGGAAACATTGCACGCTGTGTGCTTTGCTTGACGCTTGTGCAGGTGGGAGACACTGCTGTCCTTTGCAATTACTGCCACTCACCTTTCTGTCACCAGAGTGGTTTGTGTTGCCTGCCTGCCTATTGCAGAAATATCTGCTGGCTCAGCGTTAGGGACAATGTAGTTTTGGAACACCTCATGCAAACTGTGTAGGGCATAAATAAAAAATACTTAAAGAAGCAGTTGCAGAGTTCTTGAACAGTGATCTCCCACAGGTAGTGGTGACTGGCCTTTCAGCAATCTTACTCCTGTCTGAGGTAGCTGAATTCCAAGGGTAACCATAATTCTATCAAATGGCTTGTGTTAGCTGGTGAGCTGAAGAACAGATTTTCTTGGCAGCATGTTGCGGTAAACCTAACAAATTCCTTTAAAATATGCTTAACATTTTTAATTGGGATTCTTCCCCTTACCCCATTTTTTTTTCTTTGCTTTTCTCTGCTTTTTAACTAGAAAGTGTATATAACAATTTGCTCAGGAGGAAGTGCTTGTATTCCACAAAGTTACCCCACATTTCAGTACTTGAAAAAAATGGCCAAAGTGAGGCCTTAGAGGATGGCATTTTCTCAGCCTTTGGATATTTTCTTTTACTCTACCTTCTGCAGTTCTTCTTTGCTTTCTCCTCTCCTTTCCCCCAAATGCAGACACTAGAACTGGATGCAGTAGTCTGATTAAAATATGCATATAAAAGTAGATGAGCCTTTCTTTGCATTTCCCTGGCACTGTATAGGGATTTAACACTGAATTGGCTATGATCCCTACCTATGTTTTTAAACTATTGTGCAGCAACTGCCTTTTAAAATATGGCATAGTTGATAGTCACTCTTTCTAAACATGGAAAAATGCATTTGCATATGTTAAAATAAAGTTGAAGTGAAGTTTGCAAAGCATGGACAAGTTGTATCTGGGGTTATTTTGTTGTGTTTGTTTGTTTGTTTATTTTCCCTGCTCATTTTTGGTGATTGTTAAAGTAAGCGGATCTTCCATGTTACTGGCCTTCTATTTTCCGTAGGTGAAAATTAGGAAGCTGCATTTTTACAGGTTTTTTTTTACCTATATTTCAGATAGAGAGCTGTAAGGATACCATTTTAGGAAATAAACTTACATGAATTGCCATTGCAGGAATCTTGCACATTTGACCACTTCAAAGCTATCTTAAACCAGCATTATGGATGTTAATTCTCAGAGTAATACTAATCCTGCCAATGCCTTTTGACAAGAAGAGGGCAAAGAGTTTATAGCAGCTCTAAGAAGTTTGCATGTCCTTGTGAAGCTTTGTATATTTAGTTTATGGGAGGTAGAGGGGCTAGTTACTTTTGGTATTGAGCTGCAGCTTTTATTATTTTAAATCTGTTGGAGATTTTTTTACTCTAGTCCTCCAGTGCTTTGTCCTTTACATGGATATAGGGGTTCTCATTGTTTTATCTTTTGTGAATGTTATACTTTATTTTTCTACATGAAATGTTATCTATATCATAAGCTTTTCAAAGACTTTTTAAAATCCATTATTAAAAAGATTTAAAAGTGTTTAGTAAATGATTGTGCCATTTGTTTATCCAATTTATGTTGCATTATTAGTAAATTTTTTTCTGGAACGGGGGATACAGCAGTGGAGCATAAGATGCCTTAAAGTTCTATTACCAACTTGATGAAATCTGATTGGCTGCTTCAGTATGTTTGAAGAAAATACCAGAGGAAGCAGTTTTGTTTATGAAATAGTGCATTCTGTGAATTGGGCCATATGAGTCTTACCCGTTTTTTCTGATCCAACAGACAGATCAAAAGCAAATACAGAAAAGATGACGTTATATAAAACATGTAAAAACTTGTTACAGTGATGGGAGCACAATTGGAAATGTAGCCAGCTGAGTTCTGCATATGTTTTCATTGATTTTCTGCTCTAATTGCCTGCTGTGACCATGACTGCTGTGTATGTGAATAATCTTGTAAAACTTTGTAAACCCACAGTGATAGATCATGGTGGCTGAGAAACATTAGATCTTGTTATGTGTAAATTTAGAATGAAAACCTTGTGTGTTGGAAGTGATCTGTTGACTCCTTAGCTATTTTAGAGAAGTACCACCTGATTTCATCAAAATGTTAAAGGTTTATGCAGAATTTGGGTTTCAGAACAAGTAAGTAAAATGAAAAATGGCTATTTAAAATTAAATAATTCAGTAATTAGAGAGATAGTTGTTAAATGCTGTTAAATATCTAAGCGTTTTGTTTGGCTGTCCACCTTCTCATACTTCAGCATGTGCACAGTATAGTTTAGAAAAAAACATAGAAATAATGCATGCAGCTAAATCCTGTCAGTATTTTCATGCAATTATTCTTGAAGAAATAATTATTCAGCTCCAAAACGTATTTACCAGTTTATTTAACTGATGTTATATTAAACCATTTTTTTTACACAGCATAAAGTTCCCATAGAGCCTAAAAGCTATGTGTCAAACACAGAACTTTTTGTCTAACACTCTCTGGATTGATGCTGTTTCAAAATATGCAAGCAATCTTTTTTGTTGTTGTTTAAATACTTCTAGCTCTATATGGCTGAAAATTAAACTGCCTCAGTTTTTTTTCAGAAACATCTACATTTTTGATGAAAAGGTGGCTTCTAACACAACAGCTCTAAGAAACTATAAAGATAAAAGGTCAGTTGATACCTAAGTTACTGCATACTAGCTATTACAAAGGATTTTAATTTCTAAATTTGGAATAAAAAGGGGAGCATGTCACATTTCTTACTCCTGTGAGTCTGGACTGCAGTTACAAGAAAGGAATGTGGATGGCTACATAAATTTTTGAAAGTAGCACAAAACCAACTTAACTTGATGGGTAGTAATAGGGTAGATTCCAGATTCTGTGAGAGAAGGTGGGAAACATGCTTTGTGTGTTTTTGTCGACATAACTTGAAACAGTGGGGATTTCATCTTTGTCCGACTTGTTGGAGCTGTCACCATGCGGACTAAAATGTTCAGGGCAATTTGTATTCCATGCATCTACCAGCTGCTCTGCTTGGTTTTCTCTCTCAATGGTGGTAAGAAAATCTTTTAAAACTTGCTTGAATATGTAGACTATTTCCCATGGTAAAACATCATTTTCTGCCAAAACTTCCCGAAATCTAGGAAAAAAAAAAAAAAAAAAAAACAAACAAAAATTGAAATGGAATCATCAGCACTGAAAACTTCTCTCTTTCCTCTCTTGTCAGTTGGGGGTGGGGGAGGAGGAAATTACTTGAGTTCCAGTGTGATTTTTTCCTTGCTGCCACATTTCCCTTACAGGTGAGTTTTCTCAGGCATTTCCCTCCCCCCCCCCCCCCCCCCCCCCCCCCCCCCCCCCCCCCAGAAGAGGAAAAGAGCTCTAACAATGTACTGGATGTGCTCCAGCTATTGTGGATTGAAAGCAGTTGTAATTGGCTAGGCTTTTTTTTTTTCCTTTGGCCCATCTGGGTAACTTGATTTAAACCAACTTTGCCCTCAGGTGTATTCTGGGCTTTAAAAGGCAAATAGACTTGTTCTGTCCTTTCTGGGTCCCTAGAAAATGTATTTAAAATGCAGGCATAGGAGAATTTTTCTTCATAAAATGTGTGGAGGGTTTGTTTTTTTTTTTTAATTTACACTGATTTGCAGGTTTTTAGGAGCTTTCTGGTGTTGTGCACAGTACGGCTGGACTACTGCATAATAGTGCATTGCATTAGTCCTTCTATTTGAATTTTAGTTACTGAGTTGCCATTTATTGAATAGTAGGGATAAATAATAGGAAAAATGGGAAGTATTGAAAGGTTATACAAGATTTTCATTGTTTGGATTAGACCAGGAAAATCCTGATTTAAAACTTCCTTCAAGCAACATATTAAAGTGAAGATGTAATTTCTAAAACAACTGTAAAATGCTCTCCAGTTGCTGGTCATTGCTGCTTTGGAAGAGCAGAGCCCAATACAAACTTTGATTAGGCAGAGAAACATTTGACTTGTGATAGAGAGCTCAGAGTCAGGGAAATATGAAACAATTACCTGCTGAGAACAGTTCCTGTTTGGCAAGGCTGGATTTGAGAGCACAGAACTTCAAGCTGCCGTTGCTCAGTAGCTGGAATTGTTGCTTGAGGATTTTGATAGTTCTTGAGCCAGTTGTAATCCATGCCAGTTTTTTGGACTTTTTGTTCATTTTCAATCTCTTGCACTAATCTTTCACGCTCTTTCAGGTGCCATTTCAACTCCCTCAGCAGGGTTTTTGTAACTACTTCTGATCCAGGGCATCTTGTGGATTTGTAGGAATCAGTTTTTGACCATTTCATCCAGCCAAAAAGTGGCATTTTTAAACTGGGAAGAGGAAAAAAAATTAGTATTGCTTGTCTGTCTAACTGGTTAGTTCTTCTTACCTATAGACTTCTTTCTTAGGAACTGAATGTTTGAATGAAACTTTATTAATGATTTTAGAATAGCTTGCTGTACAGAATCACCAGGCCCTAATGAAATATGACAAGTCTTGCATCTTACAATATTTCCTGTCTCTTTTCTGAGTTAACGTACTCTATGAAATTCACAGCATTGAAAGTCCATATCCATCACCTTGGAAATATTCCATATTTTATCTATAGTATGCATGATTTAAAAAAAAAACAGGGAGGAAACCCCTAAACCCTATCAAGCAACCCCACAAAAACCCCTCAAATCCCACAAAAAAACCCTCAAACTCCACAAAAAACCCAACTAAATAAGAACACTCCCTCCCAACAAAACACAAACCCTCAGACCTCAAAGATTTGAACTTACACATATATTTAAAATTGAAATGAATTAATTAGTAGTTAAGTGCTAGAACTCTGCTTGATCAGGTTTTACAACTTATATATCAATTTTTATTTTAACTATTTTAATTATTATTCACATTATCTGGAAACAGAAATCTGGGAGAATAGACTTCTAATTTGCACTTTGTAACAAATCATGCAAACACAAGCATGCAAACTGGAATAAAATTTTAAAAAATTACCTTTGCAGTTTTCTGTGAACAGTGTTTCTGGTGAGTTTGCTTGAAGGTGTCTTATTCTAGCATATCCCGTTTGCAGGTTGTTAGTACTGCTGGAAGAAAACAAGGGGTTTTTTTTCTCTTTTTCCTATTTTCTTTTTTTTTATTATTTCATTTACTCAAACTGTACCCAGAAGAAATGACTTTCTGTACTGAATATGACAGTTTTAAGTTTTTCTGCTTTTAAGGTTCTTTTTCATCCTCTGTACTGGAGAGAAGCAGTAATCCATTTAACCTAACATGGTCTCTCAAATACTTTCTACCAAGTCCATTAAGATCTCCTACCTTTGAATTGAATTCTGCCGATGGCAGCAATTTGAAAAAAGATGGTAACAATTTCAAGTGCTTGTTGCTAAATCCATCCAAATGTATTGTTGGTAGTGAGATGAATAATGATAGTCTGAAGCAACTACAGACGTGCTTGTAGCTAAAGTTAAGGCTGTCGTATGATGTGATGCTTGGCTTGCATAGCTGTAGGTCACAGTTTAGAGCTGTATTTTTATGCCCGTAGAGTGCTAAAAATAACTATGTTAAACTTTCAGGCCATTGAGATGCTGGAAGACTTATCTCCCATTAGAGGGGGATCAGGCTGTTCTGCTGTCATTTTTAAACAGCTAAGAATAGTTTTTCTCTAGTAAAGATCACCCAAAGCTTTTGTTAAGTAAGTGTTGACAGAAAAGAGGTATTTGACAGTTGCTCAGGATTTTTTCACTACATTAAATGTTTCTTCCAGATGAATTTCATCAGTCTCATGGATCTATATGTTTTCATTACTGTGCATAGCTGTTAGAATTTTTAATTAACATTTCAAATGTATTTAAAGAACCCAGACTGTAACACCTACAGTGTGCCATGAAAGACACTTTAATCTAATTAAAGGAATAGAATGATAAGGAGATGCAAATTGAGGTCAAACTGATCTAAAAAGCCCAGAATTGTAAGTCTTACCATAGGCATTGCTTCTCTCTCAAGTGGCTGTCAGCTGCCTGCTCCCTGTTTCCTTGATGAATATTTTGAGCATATCCATTTTTAAGGTTCATTCTCGGGGATGGCACTGTGCACACTAAAGGTCGCTGAAGGAGCCATTTTCCATTCCAGTTATCCGGTCTCTTCCTATTAATCTAAACAGTAGCCATGGTTTAAGAAACACTGCCTTTCTTCTTGCCCTTGTTCTAATAGCTGTGTGCTCCTCTTAAGTATTTTTCATTCCTACTTTTCTCCCTCCACTGGTGTGTTGAACAGCTGGGAGAACAAAGGTTCTCTAAATTTGTTCTAGATGTCATACAACATAAAGGATGACGTGTATGGCTGTTATTAAAGCTGATACCACTTATACATTGGAAAAATTCAAATGTCAGTATTAATCCTCTTCAACTGGAAGGTTTTCACATTGCATTGAATGCGGTACTATGAAAAAGGAAGGGAGCTAGGTTTATGAGGACAGAACTGTCCTGACAGATTTTCAGATAAAATTAAAATGCTCCTTGCCACCTCCTTTACAGCACAGTTAACATGTCACCACTTTTTTTCCACTGTATCAATCTGCAAGTAAACTGCTGTACAGTGTAAAACCATTATAGTGTCTTTGCAAATTTAGAGATGCATACTGGAAGGTGTGCAAAGTAATTAAATGAGAAACCTACAACTTCTATTTTTCAACCTAATCTTTGGTTGCATCATTGAAGATTCAAGGCAGGATCCTGAGGATCATGTGTAGGAGAGCATTGAAGCTGAAAATTTTTATTGCTTCTACTTTTGTATGCACTTTGGGTATGTGAAGAGACTACTCATGTGGGGCTAGCACTGGAAAGTGGACCTCAAAAGTAGAGAAGTTAGTTTATGCAGTTTCTAGCCCATGGTTAATTCTGGAAACTTTGTTAAGAGTTAAAATTCTACCCAGCTGTCTCTAAATGTACTCCTGCATCTAAAGTGCTGTGTCGGGGTGGGAATTTTGGCTTGATTTTGGCTGATAGTGGGTCTGTTCCCTGAAGGCACTGTGAAGTTTGTCTTCATTAGTAACTTATGTCTCAGTGGTCAACTCTGCATCCTCAGTCAGAACAAGGAGTGTTGTCTGTTGTGTGTGGCAGAACAACTCCTGTACTAATGTGCTGAGTTTATTCTGTTATTTTCTTTTACCCTGATTATAAATTATACACAGTTCTATTTACTTCTTGATTTTCCAAGGTGTATTTAGGGAGCCTGTTATGTATTCTTCTTTGTCTAAGTTGAAAGGGATATCAGTGTGGGGTTAGTACCTGTCACATGAAAAGAATTCCTTCTAAGGTAACATATGCATGCACGGTGATTGGCATGTTCTGGGTATGGTTTGTACTGAAAAGCTGCAACAAAACCCAGCATTCCTGGAAGAACCCTCATTTTTGGAGTGGTTTTGTTCCACCATGTGGGTGACTCGGCGTGAAGGAGTGGAAATATGGTTCATGGCTCTATTAATCTGAAAATATCTGGTATCCTAAATCTCATCTGTTTGGAGAATTCCTCCTTTGTCGCCTCCTGTTTGACATCACAAATGTGAGGGAGAACTTGAAAATTAAGATGTAACTTAGAAGTATTGCTTTTAAAGGTTTTGGGGTTTTTTTGACAAAGCCAGTTTGAGTAGAAGTTGGTACTGAAGAGCAGTTTGATCAATTTAACTAAATGTTACACTGACACGAACATCCAGGCATGATAAATGGCGAGAATGGCTGGAGAAGAAGCTTCTTATTCTTTTATTTGGAAAATTTTATGGCATCTGTACCATGTGAGATGCTGTTGACTCTGGTGGTTGAAAGGAGCAAGAAGTACAGCTCGTTATGAATGAGACTCCATGTGACATTGAGAAGTTATTACCCTAATTCTTCATTGACCAAGAGTGCTGATAGCAGATCATGAGCATTGCTACCTAGCTAACATTTCAACACATTGGGGTAGTGTTGCATGTTCCATAATTCTTTCCAGTATCTGTTAATAATCATATACTGTGGTTTGCTGCCATAGATTTTGTGTGGAGGGCTGTTGATTGTTGGGGATTTAGCCCAGTAGACACCTAAGCACCACACAGGCCCTTGCTTACCTGCTATTCCCTCTCAGTGGAATAAGAATTGAGGAGTGGAACAGAAAAGAAAACTTGGTTAAAAAAAAAAACCGGTTTAAAAAAGGGAAAAAAAAAAAAAAAAAAAAAGTGATGCAGAGGCAGCCCCACATCACCTCTCATGGGCAGACCAATGCCCAGCCAATTTCTGAACAGCAGCTGGCAAGCTGGACTGAAACCCCACTCTTCTCACTTTTTGTTGCTAAGTATGACACTAAATGGCCTCTCTGATCTGTTTGTGTTGCCTTCCTGGTTATGCCCCCTCACAAACCCTTATGCATCCACCAGCCTATTTATGGGGAGGAGAGGAGAATGTAATGTGAGAAACAGAAAGGTCCTGGATGCTGTACAAATGCTGTTCTGGAGTAACAAAAACATTTATTTTCAGAAGTACTGATTTGGTCACAATTTTAAAACAGCATCGTAGTGCTGCTATGAAAAAAAAATAACCCTATCCCAGCCAGGTCCAGAGAGTCCAGAGCAGTTACAAAGAAAGGTTGCCAATGCTCCCATCATCTGAGCAGAGAGAGAGATTTCATAAAGTAATTTATCCACAGCTAGCAGGTTGGATGGTTTCCTTTCATTTATACGTGTAGTGCTACTCTATGGGTTTAATCAACTTTGTAGTGTATTTTTCTTTTGATTTGACAGAAAAACTCAACTCTGGCTGTTTTGGGCAGCAGACAGATAGTGTGTCTACCTCTTCTGATAATTTCATACATCATTTGACTACTCCTTTTGCTTTTTTAACAATTATGAGCGAAATTTACCATGAGCCTACACAAGAGGCCTCTTGGTAAGACTCCTTGTTTGGTCTTTTACTGTGACAATGAACAACACAATAATTTTCTTTTAGCAGTCTTAACATACAGAAGTTTGTGTAAGCTATCATTTCATCTTGGTGTTGAGATGAATAAAAATCAGGACATGTTTGAAGCTGATTTCTTCCACTTGGAGTGTCTGTAGCATTACTATCTCTGGTGCTGATGACACTTCACTAATAGGCAGGGGAGTTACAGGCATCAATTTGAAATTGAGGCAATCCTGCTTTTAATACTAATCTTCAAAAGCATTCTTCTAAATTCAGAGCAGTCTCTTACTTGCATTTTATTTTTCTCAGAGATTTGTTTAATCTGGATTTTACCAAGTTGGTAGCCAAATGCAAAAAGAGAAGCTCATCAGCAGCTCATCTCCTAGAAGAGTCCAGTTCTTTGAAGTCCAGAATTTCATTCCACTGACACAAAATCCCAGGACAGAAGACAGTAAATTGGAGGATTTGGGCTGTTTTATTCTGGTTTTGTGCTTTTTATGTTTCTTGGATTTTAACTGTGAATAAGGTGCAGAGCTATTGGTTTGACATATGTGAAATATTTCTGAGTTGTTGAGTTTCCATAGTCTGTTCAAAGATTATCATTTGAGTTTGTCAGGATTTTACAAAGTTGATTTAGTTCTCTCCCTCCTTATTTTCCCCCCTCCCCAGCTAGTTAAGGTTTTAAAATGGGCAATCTGAATTGCACCTGAGGAAGAGCAGTGCAAGCCTTTTGAAATGCTTAAATATGAAGACTTTATCACTAAATCTAGCAAATTGCATTTCAGAGCAGCTCTCTTAGTGGAAAAAAAGCATGCCCCTAACTGATTATTAGATTCTTGAAATAATATGTAGTGACTCTGTGAAATCTGTATTTTAGTTTTTAATATGTTCAATTTATTTTGAATTCTATTAATAGTCTCCTTTTGCAGCTGAAACGTGGCTTTTGAATGACAGTACATTATTTCATTGGAGTTAGTGTATTTCTGCAGGTAGAACCAATCTTTTGTATAGAAAACCAGCTTCCAGTTGAAAGGAAAATAATTTTTAGTATGTCCTTCAGTAAACCCAGTGGAAGGTTATTTACTGTCATGGCAAATGTTCAGTTATGTAAAGTGTCACATTACTTTAGTTTCAGAAGAGAAGCTTTGAAACAGTCTACTGTATATATCTTACTAAAATTGTACAGCAAAATATTGCTCTGTGTGTTATAAGGCTGAGGCTAAGTGTTTTTTTTCTAGTGATTTCCTCCCTCCCCAAAGATCTGTAAATAGGTGAATAGTATGTGTGCGTGACAGAAGCCGTGACTTGGGGCTGTCCTTCTCTTGTGATCTGTGAAATGGGTGACACTAGCTTTATGTTCAACTTCTAGTCCCATGTGCACAGGATTTTTTGTGTTAAATGAGGCACAACATAAATAAGCAGAAAATACATCTTACAAGACTTTTAAAAACTCAGTTCAGGAGACTTTGATGTTTCAGTTTTGTTTTTAAGATGTGCATGTTCTAGAAGTTACATGGCCTTGATTAGAGGCTTCTACTCCAAAATTAAGTGATTAATAT